ATTTAGGTCATTTATAACTTCAGTGTAAAGATGACGTTTTAGCGTTAGGAATTGATAAGTACAATCAAGAATGTAGAAACATTGTTATGCGATATTCGGGAGATTGGCGAGAAACTGTAGAACGTATTGGTCGCTGGATTGATTTTGATAATGATTACAAAACCTTAAACACCTCTTTTATGGAAAGCGTCTGGTGGGTATTCAAAGAATTATATGAAAGAGATCAAGTTTACCGTGGTGTAAAAATAATGCCATTTTCTACCGCGTGTACAACACCACTTTCAAATTTTGAGGCTTCTCAAAATTATAAAGACGTTAATGATCCAGCTAGTATGTGTAAAATTTTCGATTAACTATAACATTATTATTTTTTGTTCGTTAATTGATTTATATCTGTTTTTAATTTTTTCTTTTTTGGTTAGTTGTCGTCTCTTTTCCTTTGGCCAATGAACCGGATGTGTCACTTTTAGCATGGACAACAACCCCATGGACATTGCCCAGTAATTTAGCTCTCTGTACCAATCCTGATTATGAATATATTAAGATTAAGGATGAAGCTTCTGGACAGCAATATATCCTTTTGGAGAAATGCCTAAATACTTTGTATAAAGATCTCAAAAAGGCAAAATATGTTATATTGCAAAAAATCCCGGGAAAGGATATGAAAGGGTGGGAATATATCCCTTTATTTGAATATTTTGCTCCTAAGGTGAATAAATATACACTAGCTATTTTAAGCTTTTTTGAATTATTGGTTTTGTGATAAGCAATTGACACTTTTTACCTTCGTTGATGGTACACGTTTATTCATCTATCATAAATTTCATAAATTGTTTCAATAATATCATTTGTAATGTATCGCCATGACCAGTTCAAAGGAAAAGGATTCGTTATAGTAAATGATAAATATGTTACAGATGATAGCGGTACTGGCATTGTTCATCAGGCACCAGCCTTTGGTGAAGATGATTATCGTGTATGCCTCGAAAATAATATTATTACAGAGGATGGATTTCTTCCTTGTCCTGTCGATGAACAAGGTTTATTTACTTCAGAAGTGACTGATTTTGCCAGAATGCATGTCAAGGTTTAATAAACTATTTTGTAATTAATAATTATACAGGATTTCTTGTTAAGGGAATTATTTATCTAATTAATATAAATCTGTCTTTTAGGATGCAGACAAAAATATTCAAAAATTTTTAAAACAAAAAAATCGGTTAATCGTTCAATCTCAAATGATGCACAGTTATCCTTTTTGTTGGCGGTGAGTAATGGAGCCAATTGATATACATCAATAATAACGTTAATCTCTTTGTAGGATGTTTCTTAACTTTATTAGCATTCGAATAGATTGGTAACGCTTATGCGCCTTAAAAAATTTGTAGCTCAGATACTCCATTAATATATAAGGCTGTTCCCTCGTGGTTTGTTCGTGTCAAAAATATCATCCCTGAATTGTTGAAAAACAATCAAGAAAC